CTGTTGATATGATTTATAGAGACTGTTTTCTTAACTGTTGCATCTTCGTCCTAGCTTCCTTAACAAGTGTTCCCACTTTAGACAAATCTTGCTCTGCTGCTCCCAGTTTTGAAATCACAGTAACAATGTCTCCTTCGAGAACCACGTCTGAAAGACCCATCTTTCTTGCTAAATCCACTACACACACTACCGCAACCGTTTTAATAGTTAATAGATCCGTAATCCTTGGCAGTTAGCCGTGCATGCTCCCAACACAATTCCTAAGAGTTTCTGATTATCACACCGGTTCCTCCATTCTTTCAAACCACGTTCACAACTCCATCAAAATTGACCTTACAAACACCACTGGGCGGGGGTTCCCATTTCTGTTTTCTATGCGTCTGTATGCATGAAAGTTGTGGTTGGGCATTGTTAAAATCCTGCCGGCACTTTTTTGCAAACCATGCTGACTCGGTGGAGTCTCTCCTTTGCTCACCATGTAGCGCACTGTGTTCTCCATAATCCTCCACAATCTTTCTGCCATGTTTGTATTGCTACCATTCCCATCGTCTCAGCTCACGTCCAAAACGTTCCAAACCCTCTTTGCATGTTCACACCCAATTATTGCATGAGCCACTGTTTCGTTGGTGTCTCCGCATGTAGGACAGTATGGGCTGACCTGCATCCTTCTTCATAGAAAATTCTACATAACCGCATGAAGATTTTTATTTTTGTTGGCACCATTGTAGACCATATTCTACTCCATACAGTCAATGTGTTCGATCCCTGTTGGTTTCCATATCCACCAGACTCTTTCATGTCCCTTAGATTGTAAAGGACTTTTTATGTGCTCTTAACAGTGGATATCCCAAATTTGTCAAAATGTCATACTTGCCTGTCTGATGATCCAGTTTTTCTAAGTGGTATTGCGATGATAGCTTCTGCTTCTTCCAGTGAGAACCTCTCTTGAAGTGTTAACCATTTCCATCATTTTGATTGGCCATCGATTCCTTCTTATTCTCATCCCAACTCCCCTTTCGCGATCTTGGCCTGAAATCCTCTGTGAATGGCATCCATTTATCCCTCCAGATCCACACGGTCTCCCCATCTCCAATTCTCCATCGTACTCCCTGTTGGAGGACTGCTTTATCTACCGAAACACTTCGCCATGTTAGTGACGGGGAGTTTTCCAGTTTAGAGTCGAAGAAGGGTCCATTAGGAAAGTATCTGGATTTTAATACCCTATATAATAAGGTATCTTTATTAGCCAGTAGCCTCCACCATTGCTTGGCCAGGAGAGCTTTATTAAAAATTCCCATGTCTCTAAAGTCCATTCCACCTTCTCCCCTTGGCCGGCATAATTGCTTACACTGAACCCAGTGCATCCCTTTTTGATCTTTCCCATGTCCCCACCAGTAGTGGCTTAAACAGCTGTTCATTTCTTGACACAAGGACGCTGGCAATAGAAAGCAGCTCATCGTGTAAGTGGGGATGGCTTAGAGAATGGATTTTATGAATACTTCCTTCCCCCATTGTGACAGCGATCAATGACTCCATCCACTCAACCTTGAATGAATTTTGTCTTTTAGCTCCATACATGTCTTTGGTAATGTGCTTATGCTCCTTTGCCACATTTTTACTGAAGTACAAAGCTGACTTGTCAAAATTTATCTGCCGTCCTGAACTTTTTTCATATTTCTATCGCACGCGCTTCGCCCTCTCGCTTTCACTTCTATCTACCATTGCAAACAGTAGACTGTCATAAAAAAAGAAGAGATGCTTCACTCTCGGACCCGATCTACTTGCTCTCACTCCCTGTATCAGTCCCTGCTTTTGCTTGTCATTCAACATTGCTGCTAAACTTTCTGTGCACATCAGGAAAAGGTAAGGCGAGAGAGGTTCTTCTTGATGGAGACCTCTCTCTGGATAGAACACATGAGTAGTATCACCATTAATCACGAGGGAATTATGTAACCGAAGTAACACAATTCAGTATAATTTTGATCCATCTTGGATGGAAGCCGATTTTCCCCAGAATCTGTTATAGTTCATCCGCTTTTAGACTATCAAATGTGACTTTTTTTAATCCTCTATTTCGAATCTGTTAATTACATTCGCATTTTTATTAAAATCATAATCATTTTGATCTCTTGTTTTTGTGGATATAGAAGAGATTTTATTAATCTTGATTGGGTTTGTTCTCATAAATAAGAACTTGTTTGGGTGCCTATAACATGGAGTAACATAAAGGAAATATCAAAATTTAATTTTGTCTCATTTTTCTTCGAACAAAATGCAATCTTACCATACACTTTACTCTTTGAAGTCTGCAAAAGATGAGCCTTTTATTTATTTTATGTAGCGGGGTTTTCTTCGTTTCAGTTGTCTGGAAAATGGCGCACGAGAGTATTGGGATTGCCAAAGATGTCGCTGAAGTAATTTTTTCTCTTTCTTTTCTTTGGATGTCGCTTTAATTTTATTTGGCTTTTTCTTTTTTTATTTTTTTTGGTAGAGTGATTTACTTACTGTTGTCCATTGTTTTTTTGGTTTTAATTTTGCGGTTAAAGTTGATTGGTAATACTCCATCGATATATCTGAACAATGTGGTGGATGGTTGTGTTGCTCGCATTGCTGCTAAGCTTGAAACGATGGAACCCTGTTCTAGTGTCAAAGACAGGTACCCCATTTTTTTGTTTCTTTTTGGTTCATTGCTTCCATGATTAGTGTGTTTATCTTGCTAGAATTGCTGAGTTCCCCAAAATATTTCATGTTCTTATCTGAATTTCTGTTTTTTATTGAATGGTTGCTTAAACTTAACAGGTGTTTTCTAACGGTGCAGGATTGGTTATACCTTTTGTTGTAATTTGTAAATTAATAGCAAATTTTGAATGTGAGTTCTTACTTAATGGAAATACGTGCATTATTAATTGTTGTTTGCCTTAATTGCCCGTGGGATGGTTGATTATTATTTAATTTGGACAAAAATAATATGAGTTTGTTCCTGAAGGCAGAATGCTTCAAGTAAAATGTCCCTTGAATTTTGTGTTTTAACTTTGTTTTATGAATGGTTGTCGAAGAGTGTCTTCATTGAACCTACAAGTGGAAACACTGGGATAGGGCTAGCGTTTATGGCTGCTGCCAAGAGATACAGGCTTATCATTACAATGCCTGCTTCAATGAGTCTTGAAAGAAGGATCATTCTCCGAGCATTTGGGGCTGAGTTGGTTCTCACGGATCCTGCTAAGGGCATGAAAGGGGCTGTACAGAAGGTAGAGGAGATATTGGCTAAGACACCTAATGCATAAATGCTCCAGCAGTTTGAAAACCCTGCCAACCCGAAGGTATTTTCTGAAACAATATTTTAACGGATCCAATTGTTGTCTGTTAAAGTCAATTAACACATAATGTTGTTGGTTTAGATGCACTACGAGACTACTGGACCAGAGTTATGGAAAGGTTCGGTAGGTAAAATTGATGCCCTTGTTTCTGGCATAGGTACTGGCGGTACCATAACAGGTGAAGGCAAATACCTGAAAGAACAGAACTCCAACATAAAGGTAAGCTGGTATCTTTTATTCTACTACTAGTTCACTGTTAAATCATTTGTTAGTTTACAGTGGTCAAGCAGATAAATTAGTGATAATCTGTTTTTCATATCTAGTTCCCCATACAATCTAACTTTCTCATTGGTTTACCTGTGTAATGTGTATGATAGCTTTATGGTGTTGAGCCAGTTGAAAGTCCTATTCTCTCTGGAGGAAAGCCTGGTAAGTTACAAATCGTCATTCTTGCGCATTATTTAGTTGCGGTTGGCATCGTTCGGCAAAATGATTGAGGTACAAATTAATTTGTCGTAATCTGAGCCATGACACATTTCCTTTTGGCATGTTTCATCGAATGGAAAGGGTGTAGTAGTGTGTTTCACAAATTTTTTATGTTCTGAAAAGATGTTCACGTGAGTCATTGAGTGATTCTTCTGTCTCTTTTGCACATTGGCCTTGGACTATACAACATGAAATTATGCCAAAAGGCATGTCTATGGATTATGCAACACGAAATTTCATCTTCTCACCACGAGTCTGCTTTCCTTATATTTATTGTTTGACCCTCTCTAAGATATTACGATGAGCAAAAAGTTTTTGTTCTGCTGACGGTTGCTCCATGCTTGTGTATGAATATCAAGGTCCGCACAAGATCCAAGGATAGGCGCTGGTTTTCTCCCTGGTGTTTTGGAAGTCAATATCCTCGATGAAGTTGTTCAAGGCCAAAATGTTGATCATGCATTAATATTTATCCTCTTATTCTCTTGTAAGTTTTCCTTCTAAATTATTGATGAAAAAGATTAAATATTAGATGGTTTATTTATATTCTTGTCCTGTTCAATGAAAGCTTATTATAATGAATATTAATAAGCCACAACTGTCGTCCATTCCTATTAATTTTGTAAATTTGCAGAATTTTGTAAATTTGCAGGTATCCAGTGATGAAGCTATTGAAGCTGCAAAGCTTCTTGCACTGAAGGAAGGCTTACTTGTAAGTTGTTCAGTCTTTTAAATTCTCTAAAGCCGGGGGCTTATCTTGATCCATTTCTATGGTCCCCTGCACTTAGCTGATAAGCAAGCATCTGTTACAGGTTGGAATATCATCCGGCGCTGCCACCGCAGCTGCAATCAAAATTGCAAAGAGACCTGAGAATGCTGGAAAACTCATTGTTGTAAGGTCAATTCTGGGTCTTGTTAGACATGAAAAGCAATATCTGCCTAGTACTACTTCAACTTCATGAATTCGAACATCTCTACCACTCTAAACTGCACTGATATATTCCATAAATTTTACACAGGCGATATTTCCGAGCTTTGGAGAAAGGTATTTATCCTCAGTGCTGTTTGAATCAGTAAGAAGGAAGCAGAGAGCACGACTTTGAGCCATGAGCTTTCTGCCAGTTTTCCTTGGCTGAATCTCATCAGTTTTATTTAAGATTTTGACGTTTTAGCTATGTTGTCGAGTAATTTGAGACCCATTGCAACATTAAATTTCTCCATGAATATGCTGGCATATAAGTATTCAGCAAATCTATTTGTTTCTTAGCCAAATTTCGTTTATTTTTGGCATGAATTAGCAGATATAAGAAATTCCATTGACAACTGTAATTAAAAATAAAAAGTTATATTCCAATAAATATCATCAGCTGAAGAAATCTTGGATACCTTTGCCAGCAAAAACCCTATCAGAAAGCTCGGCTAAAACGGCATTAACAGTAAGTAAAACGACACTAGACCCAGCAATGACCCCAAGCACAACGCCGGTGGTCCCCAACACTTTTCCAAACGCAGGCCACTCGATTTCCCTTATCTCCTCCGCCACTCCGCCCGCAAGATTATTACCGTTCCCTTCTCTCTCCTTCATCGCCTTCTTAATCTCCGCTCCTATCTCGCTCAACTTGCTTTCTTCACTCGCCGAAGCATCTGCTTCCACTTCCTTTGCGGTCTCCGGCTCTTCCACGCTCTCTTTGTTTTGGTCGATGGCCTTGACAGGAAAGAATCGGTTTTTGTTTAAGTTGCCGCTGAATTTGAGAAAAGGTGTAGTTTTGGAAGGGAAATAAAAAAGACGGCGACTGACAGGTGCAGCTTTCGGTTGTACGGAGGTTGGAGAAGGAGCAATTGTTTTTATTGAAGATGAGACTGGGAATTGCAGCGAAACCGCCATTTCACGCCGGCTGAATTAATGAAACTTTTGCCTTTTTGTGTTGGTGGAGTCAAAAAATTATTGCGGATTCGGCTGTGGTGGAGTGAAAATATTGGGTTAATGGGCCATCCAATCTCTTATGGTCCCCTTTTAGAAAAAATAAAAATAAAAAATGAAGAACTCTAAACAAAATCTATTTTACGGAAAAGAAAATCATAAACTCAATTGAAATTTGAATTATTATATAGAAGCTAACTTTTGTTGATGTCAAAAGCTCCATCATTTTGTTAAAAACAGAGTATAGTTTGAGATTAAGCTAGTCAATATCACTATAATAATGCTTAATAATTAAAATTTAAATTATTATAGCGTATTTATGTGTACAACAACATATAAAGTAATTTAAGCATAATTTCAAAAAGTCAATCAATATTGTTAGAGAGATGTATTTCTTGCAAGGCAAAGATTTTAGCTGTAGATGTTACATTTTCTCTCTTATCCTAATATTGCAAGCAATGGGGGATCCTTGAGGCCCTTTAAGGAATTTTGAATTTTTTTATACATATATAATTTTTATAATAATCTTAAATTTTTTAGAAAATAAAATTAGTTCAGCTCCTTAAACTTAAGTTTATTGTGTTAATATATATTATTTTTTATATATTTATATTGAATATATAGTTACAAAAATCATTTGTATCTAAATATTACAACTCTTAATTTAAAAAAAAAAAAAAAGAACAATTCTTTAATTTGTGTTTACTTATTATTAATGATTTTCAATTTAGTAAATTTGTCTAACACTATACTTCCACACACATGTAAATTTAAGTTTAATATACATATATATATATGTAAGTATTATAATAACTAAAAAAGACTTAAAAATATCCTATTGTGATTTTTTTACTATATGCATTCTCATTTTATTTGAAAATTGTTATATGTCACAATAATTAATATGATTAGTTTAAATACCTTTGTATTTTTCATAATGTAAAAATACTACATAAAAAATTAGAAAGTTTCAATTCATCGTATTAAAGTCTTTATTTTATTATTTTAAAATTTAATTTTTTATTTTAAAAAAATTGTGATTTTTTTCACTTTAATACTTTAAATATTAAATATGATAAAACAATGTATTAATATTGTAAAAAATATAAAGATTTAAATTTTATAAGCAATGTTGTTAGTGATTTATAATTAGAAAATCGTGAGATTAATTGTTTAATATATCTATTTTGTTGTATATATATTTATATATTAGCATGCTCATAATTGTAAGTTTTATTATTATATTTTGCATTTATTTTTAATTATTAATAGATTTTATGTATTTTAAAAAATTATTATAAAATATTTTTTTAGTCTCAAAAAAATTAAATGTCAAAATCTGTCATTGATTGCAAGCACTTTTAAGTAATACTGTAAGGTAACAACCCTTTATACACATTACTTGTCCTCCTAAAAATTGTCATAAAAAAAAAAGGGTAGGCACACAACCATCATGATTACTATATGAATGATACACCAATGCAATGTCTTATTCTCTCACACACAAACATATTTAAAATGCATTATAGGATTAAAACATGCAATTACCTAAGTTGACTTAATTTTATGCCAACTTGAAAACTACCCAAACAATAAGGTGAATATTCAAGACATTCCTTGGAAAAATTTTAGACTTTTAATTATACTCAAAGAAACACTAACTGACTACTAATCTAATTGGTCTTTTTTCATGAATTTCTCATACAATTATTTCAACATGTTGAAAGCCTTTCTAGCAATTAAATTTTCTTTCAATAAATAAATACTTTTTAATATTCTCTAGACTAACATATAATTTTTTAATTTCATGAAGTGCTGACCAACCATTTCCAGTCACACTAAATAAATGAATTTTGGAAATAATAAAGTGCACAATAATTAAAATATGTACTTTTTAAAAATTCACTAAGAACCGAAGCTTGAATTTTGCAAATTTAGAAAACAAACATAAAAACAATTAGTTAGTAAAAATGTGGCAAAAGAGAAACACATAATAAGATTGAATAGTTAATTATAGTTTTAAGTACCTTCTGCCATATCTAGAAACACTGCGTCATTTCTTTGGTTTCTCATCACTTATAACAAGTCATCCATATATGCCTCTAACATAAATAATAAAAAAATATAGATCATAAGCACGATTAGAAAGAGAATTTAAAGGCAACATATATGCTTTTAACATAAAGAAAAAAAAAAAAGATATTGGAATTTTATGATAATGCTTTTTTCTTTGTTTATTATTGAAAAAGTTAAATCTATTCTTATCATAACGTATAGATTCGTAAACCTACTATCAGAAATAGGCTTTAGAAGTCATCATCAATTTTTTTTATTTAAATGCGATTGATCACCTAACTGAATTTATTCTATCTAAAAATGAGTCTTAAGATTTACTTAGGTATCTTTAAATAATAGATTCAAGTTCACAAAATCATATTTTAAGTTCGAGAGTGCGATTATGCATGAAGAAGGTTATAACACTCTTACAGCACTGATTCAAAGGATGGTATTAGTTTGATTTCAACTTATCCAAGCCTTAACCATATTTGTGATTTATCAAAATATTTAATATTAAAAATTATTCTTAAAATTACTTGAATAATTTTGATAATAATTTAAAATAATTTTTTTATCTCAGAAGTATTCATAAAAACTAGTGTCCCACTTTGAAAAAACTCCATCATCGGATTTCTTAAATTTTTCTTATAGAAATAAATATCTATAAACTAGATTTATAGTCAGAAAAATCTCCCAATCCGTTGGTAAAATTTTCTGTTAAAAAGTATCATCCAATATGTTGATATGATTTTTTAAAAATATTTTTTAAAAAAATTTATTAAATCTTTCAATATTTTAATAAAACTTAATTCAAGATTTAAATCATTTAATAGTTTGATAGAATTGGAAAATATTTTTTTGAAAACTTTTTTTTTTGTAAACTTAAAAGAACAAAAGAAAAAAATTAACATAAACAAAAAAAAAATCATCATGCCACTAATATCATAAAATAATAATACATGTCATATAATAATAATAAAATATTATGTAATAATATGAATTATCATGTAATAAAATACAATCACGTAATTAATTAATAATCATGTAAAAATGAATCGTACAAACAAAATGATATATATAATTATACAAATAAATGTATTAATAATTATACAATTGAATATAATTATAAAAATAAAATATCTATTCATATCATGCAAAATGTAAAATATCATGTAATTAAATATATATTAAAATATAAATATAAAAAAAACATAAAAATAAAACAAGAAAATAAAAGCAAAAAAAAAATCAAAAAAAGAAAAAGCAAAACCTACAAAACATGTCAGGTTGGAGCCAGGTCGATGCGTGGGTTGCCATGGGTTCTCGCAGGTTAGCTTTTTAACCCAAAACGACATCTCATTGATCCTCTATAAAAGCAAAAAAAATCTTCTTTCTCCTCAAAATATCTTGCTCCTTTCTCTCTCTAAATCCCTTTTCTCTACCTTCTCTTTAAGGCTTCCACTAGAAACTTCAAGCGATTTCAAAAACTGGCCAAAAACCCAAATTTTGAGGTCGAAAATTTCAACCGGCCACCGGAAAGCTTAATCCTTTCTAAAAAATTAAAAGAACTCAAAAAGCAACCACTGTGAACTTCATCAGAAAGTTCAAAGATTTATCAGAATCTGCATAAAAAACCCAAAAAACCCAAAAAAAATTCCAAAAAACAAAACTTTCCAGAAATTTTAAAACTAACCCGAAATCCAAACAGTTTTTCCAAAACCCATAAACTCAAGACAATTCTACAACAGAAAAAAAAAATCATCATAGTCCAAAAAACTTGAAATTTCAACTGTTTAAACACATAACCCAGAATTTTTCAGAAAAGTAAAAATTTCCAAAAACGTCTTTGTAAACCCAAAATTCAATTGTTGCTTCCCCTTTTTATCATTTCCCCTCCTTTGTGTGGTTGATTGTTGTTGGTTTTATAGAGATCAAATCTCTTTTAATTTTGAAAAATTTTCACTGGTTAATTTGGGATTTGATTTGAATTTAATATGTGATTAATGAAGATCTATCTTGGATTTTCCTTTAGTGAAATCCAACAAATTTGATTCCGAAATTATTTCATTATTATGCAGATTTGATGCAATTGATTTCCAAAACATTTTTTTTTTCTTTCTTCTTTTTTTTGTATTTTCTAATTTCCCTTTTTTTATTTTTTAAAATAAGTAAAATTAAATAAATAAATAATAAATAAATCAAATTAAAATTAAAATTAAAATTAAAAAAATTTTTTGAGCCCGAAACTTGTCAATCGAGCCCAACTTTTGACCAAAGCCCGTTTTCGTTCAAAGAATATTTCCGATAAAATGTGGCGTTACAGTTCTTACTGCTTGCCAAGTTATCAATCTTGTATTAATAAAGCAACATCAGTTAATGTGAAAAGCTTAAATCTAGAATAAGGCGAATGGTGACGAGATGAGCTTAAGCGCAGGTAAACATGTGAAGTGGAGAGAAGATAAGGTTAAATTCAAAATAATTCTGATACTTTTGGTTTTCTTGGTTTTGGAGCATGTCACTTATGACTTCTGCAACAAAAATGAACTCCATTAAAATATAATCATGATCCCAATTTCTTTTTTATCCCCTTTTTTTTTTTTTGGCTGGATGAACAATTAGCTTCCTGGTTTAATTATTTATGATAAATGATCAAAGCATAGACGTATGAAGATCAAAAGGCATGCTTGCCTGGAAGGTAGCTACTGCTGTATAGAAACACCAAATTATTTATCACTGTCATCCTTTAATTCCAAAGGAAAGTTTGGACATGCTTTCCAACTTATATTATTCGAACGCCATGTGTAAGCTAAAATTTAAAACAAAGAAGAAGATGCGATGCGAGCAATAAAAAGTTGAAATAGTGAATCACAATTGATTCATACAATGTCATCTAAAAAGAATATCCTTCCTCAATCATGGAAAATTTAAAGGGCAACTCAGCTTCATTATGGAGTAATGAGGGTTAAGGCTTTGCTTTTCAAGGTTGGTAATCTGCTACTGTTGCCTACTCCTCACGGAAGGTTCTTAGCTTTAATTTAGATGAATAGTGTAAGATTGTATTGGGCACTCAATCACTTAATTTCTCCCCAAACATTGGGCCAGTGGTTACGGTGAAATATGGGAATCCTATATTGTGGATTTCCCACATGTTCCTTTTTAATTTCGATAATTGGATTAATACTATGCCCCGCCTTTTTAATTTCAAGGATTCACTTGTAAAATAAATGCGC